CGGCGTCGTAATCTGTTGTGTGAAGGGAGGAAAATTGCATTTATGTTATTTTTCTCTTCAGCCCTGGCGCAGATGTTCTCTGTAGGCTTTTGGCCCAAACGAGCTGTTTCATAAAATCAGTAGAATGGGTTGGGTTGGAAGGGACCTTCAGGATCATCCCGTTCGAACCCCACGGGTGGGCACCTCCCGCTAGACCGGGTTTTACTGGTGGGATCTGAAGTTCGGGGGCCGGTTAGCTCAGTGGTTTGAGCACGGTGCTGGCAACAAGGATCAACACCGAGGTCGCAGGTTCGATTCCCCGTGTGTTGCCAGGTCTAGTCAAGAGGTGGCGACCCTGCCCAAAACAGGGAGGTTGGACTAGATGATCTCTAAGGTCCCTTCCAGCCTAGGCCAGTGTATGATTCTGAGTTCCTCACACGTTCGAGGAGGTGCCACTCGCCCTCACAGCGTCCGAGGTGCTGGGCAGGGGGCAGCCTGGGATGGGGCAGCACAGTGCAGGTGGTGGGTGGTCTCCTAGCTTGGATCCTGGGAGGGTTTTCTGGTGCTATTGGAACCCCCTTTGAGTGGGGACAGAGGGACTGAAAGCACAGGTAGCGTTTCAGGGTGCACCTCTATCCCCTTTCGCCAGGCTGATTCTCCGAGGCGGGTGGCATCCCTCCAGGAATATTGTTTTCCCTGATGTTCAGCTAATGCTGGGCTCTGCAGTTGCACTCTTGGCCGAGAGCTCAGCTCTGAGCGTGACACGCAGGCACGTACACAGAGATGTTTCCGTCTCAGAGGACCTCCACAAAAGTGGATTGACAGCCTGCAGGGCCCAGCTCCAAAACTCAATTTTTGGAGTCACTGGAAGTGACGTTTCTGGAGAGATTTGCCCAGAGGTGGGAAGGAGTTTGGCTGCGTACGAAGGAGAAGGGAAGGGTGATGGGAGGGGGAAGGAAGACTGATTGCGCAGGGTAGCGGGAAGAGAGGAAAGTTGAGGAGAAGTGTAGGCTGAGTTGGAAGAGAACTGCTGCAGGTGCTCCAAACATCACAAAGATTGAGGTGGGAGGTGGGTGAAAGTCATGGGCAAAAATCCACTTGCACTCAACCTGTTTTCTTTCAAAGGCACTTGAAATATCTAGACCCAGGATGACCTCATTCCCCTCTACGTGGTCTTCACTTTTTTTTCTTTTTTTTTTTTGCTGGATTTGGAGCAAGAGGGGAGAGAAACATTTACTGAACAGCTTCCCAAATGCGTCACAGATTGATGCTAAACTATGTGGATGGTATTCTTAGCAGACACAGCGTTCACGTTCGGCGTGTGGATGCTGTGACTTTGATTCTGTGCTTTTGAAGCGGGGCTGCCGTCACCGAGAGGGGTGTTTCTGGTACCAGCAGAGTGCTGGATTCCGTAGGTAGTATCCTGCTACTACCTTTCAGCAGCAGATAGAAGGTGTTTTAAATAAGTGTTCTGTCTCAGTAGCACTTAGTCGTGTGTCCATAATAGATAAATACATGAAAGACATGCGAAAGAGTCAGACAAAGGAGTCTCTGGGAAAGCCTAGATTGGATAAACCTCTTGTCCAAGATCATTTTCGAAGCTTGAACCAGCCCCTCTGAGTGTCCTCCTGGCCAAGCTCTGCGAGGTGGTAGAAGAGGAGACGGTGTTGGAGGGGGTGGGGTCTCCTTCTCCAGCCACGGTGCAGATCTTGAGCCTTGCCCACTCCATGGTTCCCTCTCTCCAGCCACATAAAGGCTGATAAAGACCAGTTCAGGCTGGACATGACAGCCAGAAATTATATTTTCATCGAACAATTCTTTGTGCTAAATGTGAGAGCTTTGAAATCCTGCTCCTGCTTGTTGCTGCTGACGGCTTTGCGAGGTCTGGGCTGTGCAGCAGTGTCACGGCTCTTGGCTCAGATTTTATTGTCCAGGGTCCAAGAGGGCTTTTCTTTCCCCCTGCTCACAAGACAGGGGTAGGGAATGGGTAGAGTCTCCCTTGCCTGTCATGGTTTAACTTCTCTCTCTGGAAGGGAATGGTCTCAGTCTTTCTGTCTCCAGAAATCTTGATTTCCCTCTTTTTACCCCCGGGCCCACCCTGTTCTCCACCCAGGTTGCTTTTTACACCTCTCCTGCTGGAACAGCTGTGAGGATTGCTGCTCCAGCAGCTTCTGCTCACCCGCCGGGTCCTGCTCAGTGCTGCCAAGCTCTGCCCATGGGTCAGAGGACGCGAGATCCTCTCAGCTGCCTCGACACGAGCCAACATGGTTGATCCGAGAGGGCTGAGTTGAGCCACTTGACTTTGCACTGGAGCAGATCAGGAGCGCTCCCAGGCCAACTCCGTGCTCAGATCCTGTCACTGGACAGAAGCAAAGCCCTGTGAAGGCAGAGGTAAAGCTACCTGGTGAGGAAAGAGGCTGCAGAGAGCAGCAGGGTGCTCGTGCCTGGGCCAGATCAGAGATGTCTTGCCTGCCTGTCTGCTCCGGTCACTGCTTTCGCTGCTGTGGGGGAGTGCAGGGGGGCACGAGAGGCAGCCGAGGGTGCCGCAGGGAGCTACCCCTGCAGCAGGCAGCACCCAACATCTGGCACCAAGAGGGAGCAAAGACCATCATTTCACTCTCCCTGTCCTCCCTCCCTTTCTCATCTCACTTTTCACAGAATCACACAATGTCAGGGGTTGGAAGGGACCTCTGAAGATCATCTAGTCCAACCTTCATCCCAGCACACCTAACCACTACACCATAGCCTCAAGTGCTAGATCTACTTTTTTTTTAAACACCTCCAGGGTTGGTGACTCCACCACCTCCCTGGGCAGCCTGTTCCAGTGCCTCACCACTCGTTCAGTAAAGAACTTCCCCCGAATATCCAATCTAAACTTACCCTGACGCAACTTGAGGCCGTTTCCCCTTGTCCTGTCATTAGTAATTAGAGAGAAGAGACCAGCCCCAGCCTCACTACAGCCTCCTTTTAGGTAGTTGTAGAGGGCAATAAGGTCTCCTCTCAGCCTCCTCTTCTCCAGACTAAACAAACCCAGTTCCCTCAGCCGCTCTTCATAGGGCATGTTTTCCAGACCTCTCACAAGCCTTGTTGCCCTTCTCTGCACCCGCTCCAGCACCTCGATGTCCTTGAAGTGAGCTGGCGATTCGCGTTCGTGGTGCAGGAATAGGTCATCTCGCGGGTCGTGGGAGTCGGGAGGATTTTTGTACTTAAAAGAAAGAAAACTTACGTTCAGCCAGAGCTGCAGGTGATCCCCCATTCTGCTGCAGCCCTCTCCTACTCGGATAACCCAGACACAGCGTTATCCCACCTCTTCTGCCTCCCAAAGTTACCCTTTTGCTGCTGAAAAACTTTCCCTGCACTGATTTGACATCTTGATCCTGTCCTAATTGGGAAACCACCTATATAAGCAGAGCTCAGAGGGTTGCCTGTAAAGGATTTATTTTCCCCCTGTGGGGAGCTCAGAATCGGAACGCGTATCACTCTTGCCAGGCTTTGGCTTTCCTGGTTGCTCAGCACCCTGAGGTGGCCGGAGCGTGAGGGATTTTTAAAAATGCCTGGTCTGATGCATCTTGGGGGTTACAGAATCACAGAATGGTTTGAGCTGGAAGAGACTTTCAAGATCATCTCATTCCAACTCCCCTGCCATGGGCAGGGACACCTCCCAGTAGACCAGGTTGCCACACGTGGTGGGATAAGGGTATGTTCCACAGAGTGCTGACCTGGTGCTTTTTTTTTTTTTGGCCTTTTTTTCTTTTTAAATCAGCCTCTGAATCATCGTAAACAAGCTCTTTTGGCAGCTCGTGCAGGCTGGCAGTGCACAGCTTAACTCCTGACAGATTTCTCGTCCTCGCCCTCTGTGCTGCAGCTGGTTTAGGAAGGCACCAGGCGTTTTTAAGCCTTCTGGACCCTGAAACTATGGGAAACTCTCCTGAGTCTGAAGCTCTATTCCCTCTGGTTCTCCACTCAGGGTGTAGTTATAATCATTACAGCTACATTATCTCGTAATGATTTGTGTTACTTTTCCCGTGCTCTTCCCTGACTTTATTCTGGAGCCACATTTCTCCTTTCAGCTAACCTTCATCTGCAGGCTGTTGGCCAAGTGACTGGGGGGACTGATTTTGCAGAAGTTTTGCTCACAGCCTCCACATATTGTCTCCGGGTGCAAAGAGCAGTGCAGCACCCTGGATGTTTCGACGGCTTCTCAGGTGGTGGTTGGTGTCTCAGATTGTGGCGACCACTCTCTTTTGAATACATAAAGCCTCTTGAAGCTGCAGCTCCACTGCAAAAACACGATTTTGTTGTTTAGAAGGAAAGAAAAGCAGTTTGGGTCTCTTAAAAATGAAAAAACAATGACGTTTTTCTTAACTCTCATGGGCTCTGCCTTGTTACCTGTAGCTGCTGTGTAGCAGGTTAGTAGCTGATGCTCTGCACCCAAACTTCGGGTATTCTGGGACCCTTGGGTGCTTGTCCTGAGCTGTCTTTGCATGAGGTGATGTTCAATAGTGGCTTTGCAGGGAAACAGCCACCCTGGCCAGGGGAAACGCTGGCATCGCCTCGCTTTCGGTAGCGTAAAGGATAGATTAAAACGTGCTTCGTGTTAGGTGGAAGCCACTCATTCTTCGTCTGCCCTTTTTTCAGTACCTGGAAGCAATTCTGACCCCAGTAAATTGTGAGCCATGGCTACCGTGCTAATATGCCGAAGATTTCCAAGGCTGAGCAGGGTGACTACATTTTCGACTGCAGCCAAGCTCAAGGCCGAGAGCGGAAGCAGCAAAAGTAAGCAGAATAGGGAGGAGACCGCAGAAACGGCTGACGCCGGCGCCGAATCTCCAACTGCAATCCAGCTGCTGAATCCTCTGGACTACAGGGTGTCGTATAATCCGTCTGCCTATGCCAAAAGCAGAGCTGCCTCCCAGCAGCACGCGGCTAGGATCGGTGGCCGGGCTCTCGGGGATGTTTTCACTGACCCTGGTGCTGCGTGGATTCAACAGACGTTCGATGCTGCCTCTTCTCAGGCTTCGCCACCCGTCCGAAACGCCCTGCCAAAGCCCGAGCCCAAACCGCTCCTCGAGCAGAACGTCTCGGCGGCGCAAACCGACGAGGAGGCGGAAAAGGCAAAAACAGAGATGCACGACTCCAAGGAGGACCCTCGCATGTTTCAGAAGGGTAGGCCCGAGTACAGATCTCTCAGCTACGACAAGTTTGAGCCAGTCGAGACCCTTCCTTTAGAAGAAGGCGACTCGATTTTGCACGGCGTGTCCGTAGGCAAAGGCAGCCAGAGTCCGGGAACTCTCACGGATTATTTTTGCAAGCTGAGCCGTTTACCAGCGGAAAGACGCGCGGCCTTGGTGTCCGAGCCCGCGTTTAATACGCTGTCTCACCGTGCTGTCAGAAACATCGGGTCGTTCGCTACTTCAGATCTCATCAACATTTTAAAGGCTTGCGTCCGTCTGGTCGTTCCGCCCACCCACCCGCTGCTGAACGCGTGCGAGAAGGAATTCTGCCGCCGGGCGTGGGACATGAACCTGGACCAGCTGCTGCTGGTGGCCGATTGCTGGCGCTGCCTAGACCGCGGCGTCCCTTCCTACCTGAGCATTTTGTTCAGCTACGCCAACGTGCACTGGAAAGACCTCGCTTTGCCCCAGTTTGTTCAGCTTGTTTACATCATCGGGGAAGGCCGGAGGTCGCCCGCGGATTTGGTGCAGAAGGTGGAGAGCTCGATTTTGAAGCACTTGGACTCCTTCACTCTGGAGGAGGTGGGTGCCGTCTGCTTGGGGCTCTTTAAGTCCCTCAGCGGCATCTCTGACCACGTCATGAGAAAAATTGCAGACAGAGTGTCCCTGCAGATGGAAGACATGAGCACTTTCGCTTTGGTGAACGTCCTTAAAATGCTCCGCTACGCTCGCATGGACCACTTACCCCTCCTGAAGGAGCTTGGGAAGGTTATTCCCGCTCGGATTCCTACGGTAAACATCCAGGGCATCATGCACATCACTCTGACCTGTTCCTCCCTGCACTACTTCGACGAAGGCATTATGGCCGCTGTAGCCTTGTCTTTGCCTTCCAAGGTGACTTTCTGCCGAAGCAAAGACGCCGCCAAGTTCCTGTGGTCGTACGGATGCCTGGACTATGAGCCTCCAAACGAGGAGGAGTTTTACTCCAGCCTGATAGAGCAGATGCACCGAAAACTCCACGAATTTCAGAAGTTTCCAGAGCATCTCCTTACCGGTTTGCTTGGCCTGGCGTTTGTCAAACGCTTCCCAGAGGAGCTGATAGACTACGCTTTGAGGAGCGAGTTTGTCCAGAAAACGAGAGGTAGCAAATACGAGCTCAAAAAGGACCTGTTCACTCTCGGTAAGAGTGTTGAAATCGAGTGCCCGAGCTACCAAGGCAGCCGCCTTCCGCCTCACCTTTATCAAGAGATGACCGAGATGGTTTTGAATTTTGCAGAGCGAGAAATCTACGTCAGGCCTGAAATTGTGGAAGCCGCGTCTCTTCTCGAGAGCATGTTGGGTGGCCCCGAATACGTGAAAAACCACATGATCCTGCCCCACACGAGAACGAGCGATCTGGAGGTTCACTTGGCTGTGGATGGACGTCCTGTCCCTTTCAACTTGAAAGACCCTGTTGCAGATAAACTAAAAGACGTCGGGGTGAGGCTGACGGATGATTTAATGAGCCAGCTTATCAAAGGGACATCTAATAGCCCGTCTCCTGTCGGGATGGAAAACAAAGTTGGGACTCCTGGCCCGGAGAGGGAAGGAGCGCGACCACCGCACGTGGGGGATGATGCCGCTGTGTTTTCAGGCGGATCTCTTCCTGTAGGTGCCGGATTGCGAGTTGAGCCTTACTCAAGACCCTCTCTTGAAACCCCCCCGTCCCTTGCGTTGAGTTTGCAGCCTCGGAGGGTGAAGCTGGCTCTTCAGGTGTCCAACCGAAACCACTACTGCTACTGCTCCAAGCGGCTCCTGGGGCTGCACTGCTTGAAACGGCGGCAGCTGCGGCAGCTGGGCTACGTGGTGGTTGAGCTTCCCTTCTGGGAATGGTTTCCTCTGCTCAAGCGCACGCGGTTGGAGAAACTGAGCTACCTCCACTACAAGGTGTTCGACCCCGCGCTGCTTAGCAGGGCTGGGTAGGTCGGGGTGGTGCTTGCTCGGAGGTT